TCATCTAATTAAATACAAAGTCAGTTTATCTACAGTTTTTTCTAATTACAGTTCTAAATCTACCTACGAGTCTCACAGGCTACAGCAATTTCTAGATCTACGTAATCTAGTCATCAGCTGCGGTAGGATCATCCGGGTCGGCCTCAGAGTCCGACTCTGGTTCTTCTACGTTGTTGCAGAAAAAGCCATCTGCTGCAATGTCGTCGTCGATGTCTATTTCGTCGCCCTCAAGCTCGTCGCGCCTGTGTTGCAGGCAGATCTTGTCCTGGGTCCCATCCAGGGCGTTACTAATGCCACAGGTGAGGAAAGCCCGTTGAATCAAGTCCCTGGGCACGGCCTTCCAAGCCGCTGATATCCACTTGAGCGTTAGCTCGGGTGGTGGCTTCTTGATGTTGCCTGCCATAAAATTTAAACAATCAAAAGTCAGCCACCGCTACAAACTGATAAAGCAGCACAGGCATGGCCTGCCTCTCTCACCTTTCTTTGTCAAGGTGTCGACCCCCTCGCTCTCGAACCACTCCTGGTAGAGCTGTCGAACGGATGCCTTGAAGGAGCGATTCACCGCGACGTCCAGAGGTTGAATCTCCGAGGTGCAGCCAGCTGGGATAACGGCAGGGACGATGTTCAGCTCCCCGAACTTCTTCTTCACCTCCGCAGTCAGGTGCCCGCGGTACGAATCCAAGACGAGCATCGCTTTGCGGGGCCTCACTCCAAACTTGGTGTGGACGAACGGCTTCACTGCCCCGTCGAGCCACTCAATGACTCCGTCCGCGTCCATCCAACCGTTGGGATGGACGGACACCGTAACATCTGCACAGCCACAAACGCACATACAACATCAGTAGACATTGAAAAAAAAAAACATGCAGCAGTGGGTGTTAATGCTCACCTGAAGGGAAATCCCCTTTAGGCAGGGTCTTCCGTTTGAAGAAGACCCACGGCTTCAGCTTCTCACCGCTGGCAGTGCAGGCGAGCATCACCGTAACTCGCTCCTTCTGATAGCCGCCGCTGCGGATAGGCACAGAGCGCAGACCCACCTCCTCGACTGTGCGTTCGGCAGGCATCTCGAGCCACAGTGGTGTCTGGTCCGCGTTTATTATCCACTGCGGGTCAATCTTGTATTGGCGGCGGGTGTGACGCACGAACTTCCAGAAATTCCTGACGTCAGTCTCGCAGTCTGGGAGTACGGGTGGGAGGGAAAGAGAGAAGACAGTATTAATGACGCGTTAAAATTCAACCGTGAAACATAAAGAGACAAACAACACAAAGCAGTACACATTAAACTGCAACCATTTCCCACAAACTCACTGGCAGCAAGCTTCTGGCCGACCCTGGTCTTCGCTCGGGTTGTCAGATTCCAACGGCGGCGAAACCGCTCAGTCCACCGCTGCGAGCCGGACCACTTTACCTGTGGGTGCAATTCTTTCATCACCTCATGCGACCACTTCTGTAGGCGAGCGATCGAGACCGCGAGACATTTTTTACGGTGGGCAAAAAACCTCCTGTAGACTTCAGCTTCCATGTCGCGATACCACGAGCTCCTTCCGCGCCCATGAAGACGCTTGCGAGCAGCATGCGCGCCCTCCAGGTCAGCCTTCCGGGTCTTCCATTCTGCGAGTGACCTTCGGGAGATGCCGGTTTGGCGAGACATCTGCCGCACGCTCATGTGCCCGGACTCAAGCTTGAGAATCCACTGCAGTTTCTCCTGCGATGTGTAAGAGTGCCGCTTGTGACTTGAAGGCTTGTGCCTGGGGGAGGGAGGACGGGCATCGCGATTCTCGCGAGAAGGGTGGGGCCGTTTCTTATTGGGGGGGGGGAAGGTGGGAATAGGCAGGTGCTCTGGAAGACCGTCGGCAGCCCAAAACTCCACGTCATCCTCCGCACCAGCCGCGGATTCGTCCAACGGGCAATCAGCCGGGGCTCCCCAGCGTGGCGACGGTGCGGAGGAAGACGATGCGCCACCGGCGCGGTCGGGCTCGGACAGGTACGCGTCAAACGCCGAGTAGCCAGGAGGGAGGAGAAGCTGCAGGACCCCCTGACGTGGAGCACCAAACACAGGCGGGTCAGGAGGGGACGGAGGAGCTGGAGGAACCGGAGGCGCCGGGGGAGCGGGAGGTGCAGGAGGAGTTGGAGGAGTGGGAGGAACGGGAGGAGCTACTGGTTGACACGGAGGGACGGGCGCAGGGCGCGACTGCCATTGAGAGTAGTCACAGGTGTCTCGGCGGGTGTTTTCTCTGGCAGCAGGATGGCGGCGGAACAAGAAATGCGTGCGTGGAAGGCCCGCCATGGCCACGGCAGGCCAAACGAACAAGAAACTGAAGGCAAAAGTCGAGAATGAGGGTTGTATGAAGCCCTCGCCCGAGACCCCTTCATTTTCGCGGCCCGGCCTCCTCTGCGGGAAAAGGGTGGCCCCAGTCAAGATTCCCCGCAGAGGAGCTGAGCTGGGCAGCTCCTTGCCTCGGTGGCGGGGAATTTTGCTGTTGATGGCACACCGTGGCTGAACCACGACGTGCCCACGATCGCATGCAACCCTGATTGGGCCGCTGTGATGCGAGGTACGTGTGCACTGGCATGGGCCAGGTTCACCGTTCGATGAACCTGGCCTGGCCAACAAGGCGTGGAAGGCGTGAAGCCACGCCTTGTTGGCCGTTTCACGCGCAATGCATGCACAGTTCGAACGTTCTCGACCCAGGTGAATCCGCCTTTGAGAATGCTTCGATTGGTATATTTAAAAACAAAATTCAATTTGACAAATTATAAACGCCGGCGCTTATAAATTTACTATATTATAAGCCCACCCCCTCAAAAAAACATGTTATATTATAGCCCCCCATGGGGGTATATCCGGGGGGTGACGGTAAGAGAGAAGCGCAAATCGAAACTGTCGCTGTTCCACTCGCCAGCCAATAAAATTTCGATATCGCATCCCATAAACTCTTGTCTGATTGGTCCCACGTGGCTAGTTTTTGTCAAATGTTGTAGCCTATAGTGAGGTTTTGTCTTAGGGGGTACAGAAGTTAGGGTTTGTTATATGTACCCAACCAACATCATGGAACCATCCATTCCTCATTTTGACATGGTATCAGCTAGGTTAGGATCCTGTGGGATCCCGTTCCTCCGTTCTCCGTTCGTACCTCCCGAGCCTGATCCTACCTCTCGTTCGTAGCAGTTTCGTTGTTACCGCGCCTAGTACCGAGCCTAGCGCCATCTCCCCCGTCGCGTCACGCCCGTTCCCCCCCGTCGCGTCGCGCCTGTTCCCCCCGTCGCGTCGCGCCCGTTCCCCCCGTCGCGTCGCGCCCGTTCCCCCCGTCCCGTCGCCCTGTCCCGTCGCGTCGCTCTGCCCTATCCCGTCGCCCTGCCCCGTCGCGTCGCCCTGTCCCGTCGCGTCGCCCTCCCTAGGCCCTGGCCCGTCGCCCTCCCTAGGCCCTGGCCCGTCGCCCTCCCTAGGCCCTGGCCCGTCGCCCTCCCTAGGCCCTGGCCCGTCGCCCTCCCTAGGCTCTGGCCCGTCGCCCTACCCTAGGCCCTGGCCCGTTGCCCTACCCTACGTCTTGGCCCGTCGCCCTAGCCCGCTCTTCCGCTGCGACTGAGTCCTCTTCCCCCCCGGTTGTTACTCGCCTATTCGTTCGCGTTGGTTCTCACTATGGCGACTCCGCGAGTTCTTCGTTTCGACGCCGACGGTAGACCCCTTGACTTTTCCGTCTGGCTTCTTCGCGCTCGTCGTCTGTTAGAGAGTCAGGTCCAGGGGGGCGAGACCCTTTGGTCACACGCTACTGGTGACCTCCCCGAGCCCCCCGAGCCTACAGCTTTAGGCCCTGCTCCTGACGACGCTGCTACGGCTCGCTTTGCCTGTCAGCGCGCTGACCGGACGGCTTGGACGTCGCGTGACGCTGCGGCCTGCATCGCACTCAGCAGCCTCCTCCCTGAGTCCGAGGAGGTCCACTTTACTCAGGTTCGCACCGCTGCTGCGTACCTCACTGCGATTAAGGCCCGCTACTCTACCCCCGCTACTGTCTCTCTCGGCCGTCTTTTCCTCCCGTTCCTGTTTCCTGATCTTGCCTCGTTTGAGCGCTCTGCTGACTTGATCGCTCACCTCCGCTCGCTCGACGCTAGTTACCGCGCTGCTTGCACTGAGGCACAGCTTGCACTGCTTCCTCCCCCCATGGCAATTACTGTCTATTTCATCGCCACTAGCCTCCCTGACCGCCTTGCCTCCGTTCGTGACGCGCTTCTGCTGAAGCACCCTAGTGAGCTGACTATCGAGGTCCTTGAGTCTGCACTCAAGGACGTCGAGAGCAACCTTCGTTCGGTAGCTGCCGCCTCTGGTACTGTTTCCCCCCACTCTTCCACGGGTGCACAGTCCCGCAGTTACCCACCTTCACTGCCTCTCTTGCCACTGCCGCTACTGACGCGACTGCGGCTGCTGTTACGACTGCGTCGCGGTCCCGCGGCAGGGGGGCAAGAAAGGTGGTTCCGGTGGAGGTGGAGGCGGAGGTAGCGGAGGTAGTGGGGGTGCTGTTGCGACTAGCGGTGGTGGGAGTGCAGCGTCTGGAGAGACCCCTCGTGCAGCGGCTGGTGACTCCACTACACCTGCTGGTGGCGGCGACCCTCGAGCTCGTCAGTCGCCTCCTGTACTGCCGGCCCCGCTAGGTGGAGCAGCGGCGTGGTACCAGGCTCAGCGTCAGCAGCACCTTCAGCAGCAGCAGCAGCAGCCCCTTTCCCCCAGCAGCCTCAGCAGCAGCAGCGTCAGCAGCTGGCCAGGGTCGGGGCTGCGTCAGCCCCAGCGGGCCTTCCCCTCCAGGCTCAGACAGGTCCTCGTCGGGGCCACCCTTGTGGCCGCTTTCACCCCCCTGGTCAGTGCTTTGCTCAGCTCACTGACACGGTCCGGTTGACCTACGGGGTTGGCGGTCCTGCTCCTGACTGGCTTCCTCTGGTTCAGCGCTACGGCTCCGCTCTGTGGGGCATGTCTGCTGAGCAGTTAGTTGATCTGATTAGTGCTCCTCATGCTATGTTGCAGTTGTTGACTCTAGTGTTTCTGACTCTGTTTACTCTGGTGTTGTTAGCTTAGGTGCTAGTCTTGTCAGTTGCCTGTTGCTAGTGTAGGTACTTGTGTAGACTCTAGCCAGCGACTACCTCAGAGGACCTTCGCTGTGGTTCACACTGGACTCTGGAGCCTCCCACTGCTTCTTTCGGGACAGCACGTACACTTTCTGCCCTTCCTTCTCCTGTTTGGTAGCTGTTCTGATCCCACTACGTGCCAGTCACACCTTCACATACCACTTCTACCGTGTCCTGCTCTCCCATATCGGTCTTACCTTTCTTTCTCTCTATTATCACATCTTCAATCTAATCCCTACCTTGTTCAATCTGATGTCTTAAAAAAATCGGAACCTGCCACTATATCTATCTCACCACTTTTCAACCCCATCTGTTTCCTAGATTGTGCCTTGTCTCTGTCCCTCCTTCATCCTCCCTCTCATCCCTCCACTCCCATCTCTCTCCTCTCTTCTTCCTCTCTCTCATCCCTCCACTCCCATCTCTGTCCTCCCCTTTTCCTCTCTCTCATCCCTCCAATCCCATCTCTGTCCTCCCTTCCTCTCTCTCATCCCTCCACTCCCATCTCTGTCCTCCCTTCTTCCTCTCTCTCATCCCTCCACTCCCATCTCTGTCCTCCCTTCTTCCTCTCTCTCATCCCTCCACTCCCATCCTTCTCTCCTCCCTTCTTCCTCTCTCTCATCCCTCCACTCCCATCTCTGTCCTCCCCGTTTCCTCTCTCTCATCCCTCCACTCCCATCTCTGTCCTCCCTTCTTCCTCTCTCTCATCCCTCCACTCCCATCTCTGTCCTCCCTTCTTCCTCTCTCTCATCCCTCCACTCCCATCTCTGTTCTCCCTTCTTCCTTTCTCTCATCCCTCCACTCCCATCTCTCTCCTCTCTTCTTCCTCTCTCTCATCCCTCCACTCCCATCTCTGTCCTCCCCTTTTCCTCTCTCTCATCCCTCCACTCCCATCTCTGTCCTCCCTTCTTCCTCTCTCTCATCCCTCCACACCCATCTCTGTCCTCCCTTCTTCCTCTCTCTCATCCCTCCACTCCCATCTCTGTCCTCCCTTCTTCCTCTCTCTCATCCCTCCACTCCCATCTCTCTCCTCCCTTCTTCCTCTCTCTCATCCCTCCACTCCCATCTCTGTCCTCCCCTTTTCCTCTCTCTCATCCCTCCAATCCCATCTCTGTCCTCCCTTCTTCCTCTCTCTCATCCCTCCACTCCCATCTCTGTCCTCCCCTTTTCCTCTCTCTCATCCCTCCAATCCCATCTCTGTCCTCCCTTCTTCCTCTCTCTCATCCCTCCACTCCCATCTCTGTCCTCCCTTCTTCCTCTCTCTCATCCCTCCACTCCCATCTCTTTCCTCCCCTTTCCCTCTCTCTCATCCCTCCAATCCCATCTCTGTCCTCCCTTCTTCCTCTCTCTCATCCCTCCACTCCCATCTCTGTCCTCCCTTCTTCCTCTCTCTCATCCCTCCACTCCCATCTCTTTCCTCCCCTTTTCCTCTCTCTCATCCCTCCAATCCCATCTCTGTCCTCCCTTCTTCCTCTCTCTCATCCCTCCACTCCCATCTCTGTCCTCCCTTCTTCCTCTCTCTCATCCCTCCACTCCCATCTCTGTCCTCTCTGTCCTCGCACCCATCCCTGCCCTGCCTTTGTCCTCCCTCTCAACCCTTCTCACTCCCATCTCTCTCCTCCCTTTCTCCTCCCTCTCGTCTCTTGTCAGATTGATTCCAATGTTGAAGGATGTGTTTGGCGAATTTCAAGCATCCGAATTCAACATCGGCAAGGTGCACAGCCTTGTGCATTTGGTCGATGACATTCGACGCTCCGGTGTCCCCGTTCACTACAACGCCAACATGTTCGAGTTTTTTCACCAACCTCTCGTAAAGAAGGCATACCGTGCAAGCAACAAACGTGACGCTATGCCTCAAATCGTGAAGCATAGTGTCATGGCACGAATGCTGCAAGCTCTTGATGACTCGGACCACAACAAGGAGGATTCGCACCATGGAATGGTCGCCCTACAAAAGGTAGATGATGCACGGTATAACATAGTCCTCTAAATTGCTTCTAACCATCTTCTCTCTGATTTTATAACAAGTGCACCCCAATCCCGACCGCAGGCCATGGAAACTGGGAGAAACACACTCGTGGCCACGTCGCACAAGGTGAACTGGAGGGACTCTCGAGTTGTTGGCGGCGATCTTTGGCGGGAATACGAAACAGCAGCACCTGGCGACATGTTGCAGCTCCGCGCCTTGTTGTCACAACGACAAGCCGATGGCGTTGAACGAAGCAACGAAATCCAAGTCAGAAAGGGCTTGGCTATACCAGGTGATGAGGACTTCACAAAGTATTCTAGTCAAACGCACTATGTGCGGGCAACTCCAATGTTCATGAAGGCACCTTGGTTCAGTGATGTTGCTGTTTTGGGATCTGAGGTGGAAGTGTTACCGGATGGCACGAGGAAGCCCAAGGATGTGATCTGGTATGCGCGGTTGCTGCTCTTGTTCGTAGTTGCACCAAAGGATCCAGCAGCAAAATTGTCGGACCAGAAGGAGCGTGCGTTCGTTAGGTTCTACCGCGTTACCGACGAGGTGCATGCATCCCATTGTCCTGTGCTAAGGTGGGAGGAACCGGATAATGAGTATCAGGTGGTGGAGATTGACAGTATTTTGAGGGTGGCTCATGTGGTTCCTATTGCTGGGGATAAGTTTGTGCTCAATAAGTTCAAATTCTTCTGAAAAACTCCTGATCTTCACTGGTTTTTGTTTAATCGTATACAGCCTTTCACAATCGTTGCACCCCTTTCATAATCAGTAGAAAACCCATGCGGACCAAATTAGCCCTATTCTTAGCGAACCATTCTGTGAAGAGCATTTGTTGTTCATTCAAATCTGTTTGTTTTCTCACGCGGACCTGCGAGGATTTCAATGTCGTAACTGCGACACTGTTTTGCTAAACAATGGAAATGTTATGCCGTGCGAGGTGCGAATCATATGTTTACGCTGAAATTTAAACTCTCGATAAACTAGGTCGTGGTGACGAAATCGGTTTCTTGATTGTTTTTTTTTTTTTTTTTTAACACAGCTCACTCGATTGTTAACGGCGGCACTGTTTGGCAGCACTATCACTTTCGTGTTGTCTCTTTGTGCCAGCAAGTTGGCAGTTGGTCTGTGGGCTTGGTACAGCGTACATTACAGTTTCGGCTGGATTTCTGCACCAAGACTTCCGGTGAGCTGTTGCCTTGCTGGCTAGCCGAGGCGCTATGCGAAAAAAACAGGCGCGAAACTGTAGCAACACTCTGACTCTGTGCTTCGCAAAGTCGACTCAGTTTGCCCTGCTGGCTAGTTGCGCGACAAAAGAGCCCACCATCGATGTGCAGCGTTGACAGCTGGATGTTTCAAACTGTTGACATGTATGTGCATCGATCAAAATGTGGGCAGGGTCAATGTATTTTGTTGCGTGATTGCACGGTGCGGAACTGCAGAACCTTCTAAACATTCTTCTGTTCGACTCAAAAAAGATGTCGAACAAAAAAAAAACGTGTGATGTATCTGCCCGTCCGATCTGATCGGCAGTTCGCTAAAGTCCAGAAACACCAACGTCTTCTGTCCACGTCATTCCGACCTCATTCCGTTTTGCTAAACCGAGTCAGAAAATACACAACGTTCTGTACCGTTGGGGAAACCGCGCCATGCCCTTTTGGTCGCAAATTCGCCAGTAGCCACATTAACAGACACTTTCACGCACCGCTTGTGCTCACAGTATCCCGCCTAAAAAGAATCACAACGGTAGAAGCCAACGGGTAGCCTTTACTTCCCTGCTCTGTACCATATGCCATGTGTGCTCCAGCTATTCCTGGTGTTAAGTGCTTTGGACGGGGTAATTATAAAAAAAAATAGTACTGCCCCACAGCCATCTATCCCGACCTTTCGTTTCCATCGCTGTCCCCACTCTCTCTTCACCAGCGGATCCTCGTCCCCTCATGGCTGAACTCCCTCGTGAGTTTCTGGAGGGTCGTGCCAAGAGGAAGAAGAACATCCCTGCTAGGTTTCGTAATTACGAAACAGAGTACCCTGGTTCATGCGGGCGAGCAGTAGCACATGGAGAGTTAAGCAAAGCACAGAAAACTACTCAGGCAGGTACACCAGTCAACCCTGCTCCCTTGGTTGGTAGTCCTGCACCTGCCGCAAGCGGTCCTCCAACGGTTGCAAGTGATTCAGCCGTGGTAACTAATGGTACTACCGTAGTTGGATTTACTGCAACGAACGTCAGCGCAGAGAACGTGATAGGTTCTCAGGAGGACGGCTCTCACGACAACCTTGCCGCCTCAGGGTCCGACCTCGCCGTCGTCCGCACAGGTACTATCCCTTTTCAACCCACGAAAACTAGTGGTTTTCTTCTTGTGTGGTTCACTTTACTAAACCGTTTAGTTGTTTGTTTTCTTTTTCAGGGACCCCAATCTCCTCAGACCGGAACGTGTATCATCGGGAAGCTAACACGTTCAACTCGCTGGAGGCCTCAATTCGCGTTACACTCGCCACCATTGTGGATACGCTCGACAGCGTCAACGAGAGGCTTCGGCACACCGAAGAAACACAGCGAGCCCTCCTCAAAATCGTCACCGAACTCTCCAAAAACATCAATCTACCTAGCTGGGGGTCTGATGTTCAAGTCCAGGTGTGTTTAGTTAACCGATTCGTTAACCGTTCCGTTTTCGCATCAATGCTTTCCAACATCAAGCTAACAAACTCTTTCGTTGCTCTTTGCTGCAGGAGAAGTTTGGCGAAGTGTTTGACACGATGTTGAACGGTGCTAAGCTCGAGAATCGGCGGATCTATCCATCCCCCGAAGAGTTCAAGGCCGTTTTGTCTGATGTGCTAGATGTGCAGGTCGAAGAGGCTGCTAGGTTCAACTCTGATTTTAAGAACAAAAATTGGGGCGATAAAATGATAACTCTTTGCAATGGCAGGAGAGGGAAGCTTAGCACCAAATTTCGGCAGTGTGCATATGCTCTTCTCAAAGATCCTCTTGACAAAGTCGTCCCGAATGACGTCGACTCTCGACGGAACTACGCTACGAACTACCTGTGTGGTGAGTTACTGATGTGCTGATTTCACTATTTGTGACTACTCTAATTTTTTCTTTTTTGGTCGCTGCAGAGTTGTTTGGCCTGCCATGGCATGCTCTGGGTGAAAATCCCCTAGCTAGCCCAGCCTTTATCACCGCCGCCAGTGCGTGGTACAAGGAACCCCCCGAAGATGTTGCGCTCACGATCGATCAAGTCTGCTACATCCTGTATGCGGTGAGTGGTTTGAACTGTTTATGTATTAAATGCAAAGCTCCTCTTCTGTACTGATCAACTCTTAGTGTTGTCCGCCAGGTTGAGAACAGCATGATCACAAGCATGAGTAGTCTGCATTCGGAACAGTCATCAAACAAGCGGGAAATGGACATCAGGAAGGCCCAGATTGAGCGGTGGATTGACAGGGCCAATATTCCTCTTATAGCTGGTCATTATGATTTCGGTGAAGTGTGTGTCCTCAATTGGCGTAGGTAAAATGTTATGCCTTTTTAATGATATTTTGATTTTTTAATCTAGCCGAATTTATTGCATATAGCGATTAGAAATTAGCATGTGAGAAATTGGTTTACGTGCGTGCGTAAATTGGTGTACCAAGTTTTGAGTATAACGGATGTATCTATTCTATGCCAATTTGAGTATAACGGATGTATCTATTCCAAATTTGATTCCATAGTGTCGTATCTTTTGTGACTCTAAAGGGAGTCAACTTTTATCCGTTTTTAGACCCTAGTACAAATAATGAAATGTTACGAAATGACATGTGTAACAACATTCCATCCAAACCCTGCTGACATGGCAACATTTCGCGTGACTCCCAGCAGTCTGCCCGTGGTTGGCGAAGCTCCAGCATTCTCGAACACTTCAAGCACACTGTGTTTCCATGCAATCGCTACCCAGTATTTCGCACCAACATCGAGAACCCAACTGTCAGGCACATTCGAACCTGACTTCCAGATATTGGCGGGAATACTCAGGAAAAGGTGCGATGACGAATCGGATTCTAATATTCTAGGGAATACTTACTCGTCGACTGTCGCCTCTCGCGACTCTCGTCGCTCCAGCCGCTGAAATAGCCGCGCTGTTGGCGAAGTTACCGAAGCGGCTAGAAGTGATCATGCTCGAGCATCGCACGTAGAACTGAGGCTTCCAGCAGTTAGCTGGAAGCCTTCCTGGTGACTCCCGATTTCGGGAGTCCTGTCAGTCGGCTTTCAATGCGGGGGGGTAATTGTGGGGCAACAGAACCACCCTGCAGTCAACCTGCGCAGTGCCGAAACCAACCTGCGAGGCGACTGCATTGCGTAAGTTGGGAATCGCATGTCAGTTGGGGCGAGCATATCGATTTTGTTACCTTCCTAGTAGCCTGAGGCTACCATACGATACAACGTATGTATGTATTAGCTGCTTGAGCAGATCATGCAGCACAAGGATTCAAGGAGTCATACTAGGTGAAAAGAGTTTGTTACAATCACTGATACGCTGTGTTACTGATTGACATCCAGGCACCCAAGCACCCATCTACGAGAATACAGAATACCCACAATCACCCACATATTGTACACACACCACAAGGCTAACATCCATTGCAGCAAGCAGAAGGCTCCTCGTCTTTTCCCCGCCACTATTACACGCTCCCAGTCTT